CCACTCCTCTCCTCCTTCCTACTCAGTGTCATTTCTCTCAGTTCAGGTACCCATTATTTCTTGCCTACATGACGTCCAAATCTGCAAACTGGTTTCTCTGCCATTGGTATCATGAAACTCTACTCTCTAGCCACTCCCAATCCTTCATCTAACCCACTAGTCACACCAGAACTGCTTGTATTTCCCTGTGTTCCTTTATCTCCATATCTTCCTGTGGTTTTTCATCTCTGTATCCCTTTGCTGGGCACATGCTACCTTATCCCTGTTAACCAATTAAACTTTTGATAATCTTTTAAAATTCAATGAGGTATCATCTCCTCCAGGAAGTTCCTTTTGACACCCTCCTGCCCAGGGTAGATTCCCCATCTTTATATTGGTATCCAGATAGTCTACTGTCTTAAAAAACACTTCAAACTGAATATAAGCAAGAGGCAGACACATTCTCATTAAAATAAAAACTACAGAAAACAGACTTTACATGATTATAAATAGGTAACTTAGTATCTTCCAGTCAGGATTGAGGACCCTGGTGAAATTACCTGACAGTGCAGTCAGCTACATCCACTGAACAATGCGACTCCCTTACTTACTTTGACCATGCTCCAGGCAAAGGAGAGGCTTTCTTACCTTTTCTTTAGGGTAGGAAAATCGACTGGTTAAAAATGTAGCACTTCTATGATGGCAACTCCTAAAATCCACATCTCCTAACTTCCTGCTCTGCCTTAGTCTGGTTTAGTCTCTGCAGCTTCCTGTCAGCTGCTCCTCAGAGACATCAAGACAATACTTAAGAGCTAACACAGACTGTTTCCTCATCTACAGAATGATGGCTAGATCTCAGGATGCTTTTGTCCCACTAAAAAGTCACTTGGGCTCATTTTCTGTCCTAATCTGGCTTCTCTGGGGAATTTCCCCATTACTGAGAAGGGACACAATGCAACAAGGCCTGAGCCGACAATCTGCATTTACCATCCTGCCTCTGACAAGGGTGTTACAGGGGAGGTCAGGGGACTCCAATGCATGCTTCAAAATGTTAGAACTACATTGACACCCACACATCCCCTACAATGATAAAATGAAAGAACTTCAACTTTTTAAATTTTCTCAACTACCTTCTGGGGAAAGACATTCCCTTGTACGTCTTCTAAATTTACTTACCTAAAGCTTCAAGGGTGCTTTCCAGTATTTCAAGATTCAGAGAACAAACTAATACAGAACCATTCAGGTCCTCAGAAACCCATAATTTTCATAAAACAACTCTCTTGGTGTTTAGGGTTTGGGTTACTTGATGATAATGACATGGGCCAAAATTGCATATTTGGCAAGATTTACCAAGAAACTTTAATAAGTTTATTTTGCTGTGCTATAGGGACTATTCATGCTTTTAGAAAGTTGCTCCCATAATTTCTCATCAATTGTTTACTATGAGTGCTTAAGGGGTCTCCAAATTTCACCGTCATATCTATGGAAAATTCTTCCTTATATGAACCTATACCTGTACCTCTCCATCTACCATGGATAAGAAAATGAGGTTTTGGTGTAGGATGGTCTCCATCTCTTATTAATTCCAGCATGAGCACCTTTATCTCTAAGCCTTGTCCTGAGCCTGAATTCACAAAGATAAATTCCACCATACCAGTTGACAAAGCACCTATCCCTGACACTAGGGGATCTTGACACCTCTGAAATACAGGACAGCCTTTTCTAACATGAACAGCAAGCCTTCCAGAAACTGAGGGCAAATCCCTTCTTTGGTGGCCCTCTTCACTCTTGTACCATTGTTATAGTTAGGACTTGTTTCTCAACTAACCAATTTCAATCACAATATGGCATGCTGGTTAGGAGTCCAACTGTCTAGGTTCAAATCTCACATCATTTCTATAACCCTGAAAAATTATTTACCCCGACTTTTTGTTTCCTCCTTGTTACAATGGAGTCACCAATAGTCCTCACCTTGTACAACTGTTAAGATTAAATGAGGTGGTGCCTATAAAGTACTTGGCACAGTGCCTGGGACAGAGCAGGTCTTTCATAAACACTATTACTGTCATTATTCTCAGTAGCTTCCTAACTGGTCTCTTGCCAGAGTCATTACCCTCTAACAATCTGTCTTCCATGCTACTACTAGACCACACTTTTAAAAATATTTCTTGATTATAAAATACAGATTCATCATAGAAAATTTCAGAAAACATGAAGGAAAAGTCACCCATAATCTGACCACAGAAAATCAACTGCATAGTTGCTTCTAGTCTTTCTTCCAATTTTTAAAAACTAGGTAAGACTATCATTTTTACTGTTTCTGCTGTTTTCACCATGCCTTTGCCTATAATTTAAACACTTGACAAAACAAAGTAGATCTGGTTCTAATTCTGTTTAGAAAAAGATGGAGATAAAATACAACCTGGAACAGTAAATGACTAGCAGTGATGGGCTCCCTGCTCCCTGCTCCCTGCTCCCTGCACTCCTGCCCACTGCCTGGCCCTCCTCCCACTGCTGAGAAGGCAGCTGCCATGTTGCCACTTCTGGGTGTCTTGGACACCGACTGACTACTGCCTGCACTTTTGTTCACTGGCTTCCAGCTGGGAAGTGTCCTCTCTGAGTGTTCCTCAGGTCCAAGGACCACAAAAGAGCACTGCACAACCAGATGTTCATCCACATGTGAACTTCCTGCTACCCCAAACCTTGCTCAACTCTCCTCATCTGTGTTCACTGATGTTTTCAACACCCAGCTCGGAACAAGAGTTTCTGAAATAGAATGTCACCCTGCATGATGAGAACCAAGACTGGTCTTAACGCAACTCTTACAATGTAGCTACTTCCCATATGACAATGCCCGGAGAAGTGGCACATGGCATGGGTCACTGGACATTTTATCACCTGTTTCCTCAAGTAAGCCACTAAGTTCTTCAGTGTTGAATTATTTCTCTTAATATTTATCTTTACTTGTAGTGATACAAGGCTTATCAATAAAGAAACTGCCAACCGTTTTCTTTCTTTATAACATATAGTATTCTCTTTCTTTTCTTCTTTCAATGCAATACTAGCTGACACTCTTCTAAGCTTCATTATGCATCAGAGGCAATTCTAAGTGCTCGCTCAGATGAACTAAGCTAACCCTCAGGCAGTCCTGGTGATTGGTTGCTATTATCGTTTTCCCTGGAGTAAACAAACACTGAAAGTTACATTGGGCCGGGGATTTAGCTCAGTGGTTTCACCGCCTGCTGCGCAAGCGCAAGGACCCGAGTTCGATCCCCGCCTGGTACCAAAAAAAAAAAAAAAAAAAAAAAAATTACATTAAAGGCCCAAACTCTCTTAGCTAGTAACCAATGGAATTGGAATTCAAATTAAAAAACTAGTTTAACCAACCCTAACGCCTATATAATTTTGAACTCAACAATTAAAACATTTATTAAAGATCAACTTTCCTAAGCATTAGGCGAAGACATTTCCAACCTGGAAAGGAAAGAAACATCAAACAGAACTAAACAGCCAGTAGGACAGACACAAACAAAAGGGGGCGGCGGGGCGGTTCCTGTGATCACTGTGATCAGAACAAGCTTCCCCCAAACACTGGGAGATAAGGGGGCCCTAAAAGTCATATCATTACTTGTTATGTGAAGAAGCAAAATTAGTGGGACGCATAATCCTGGAGCATGAATGTTCACAGGAATATTCAGCAGGACCCTCCACATCTCTTTCCTCACTGAAGCATGGGGCCAGCTTTCTTTGCTCTCCACCTGAATTCTTGTCACCAGCCCCTTTGCTTCATACATAGGAGTCAGGGAAAGTTGAAGGAGGACAGCCCAGCTCTTCCTTACTGACCCGATGCAGCATCCCAACAAATCACACAATTTACTTGCTATTTAGACATTTCAACAAGTCAAGAACACCTTTGCCTAAGACCTATTTGTGTGCCATAAAGTCACAAAAACGCAGCATGCTCATCATCAGCATCTATGTTTCTCTGTCAATACCAAAATGCACAGGTCTTTCACAGAATATTCCATAAACACCAGAGCATAGGAGCCCAGTGGACCTGGTGCTTACCACCACTCCCAGAACCTCGGTGATGCAGTCATGTACAGGGGAGCTGTCCTCAGAGACCCTGTGGCCCTTCTGTCCCTGAAGGCAAGGCCTAAGGGGTGACTTAACTCCTCAGCACTGACACACAGCACAGCTACACATAACACTCTTAAGTAACCCCGTTAAGACCTCTATTTCAGAGCTCCATATCAGGCCTTTCAGCCACTTAAGATAGGCTGTACAAAGAGAATTCACTGCCTCCCCCTCAAATCTGTGTCCTTTTCTCCTCCTAAGAGGCCCCAGACACTCTCAGTTGGCTCCCACCACCACCCCACTCTTTTAGGTAATCATTTCTATTTCTTGCATGGCTCCTAACAACTTTCTTACAGTTTTCGCACCAATCTTTTCTCTCCACAAGCCAGAATAGTCTTTCAAAAGAATAAGGTGATAGAACTTTACTTGCTTCCAAACTCTGAGTAGCTCACTACTTTCCATGGGATCAAATTCAATTCCTGACCTTGGCTTTTTGGACCCTGCTATATCTGACTCCTGCCTATTCCTCAAGTCATCTTTTCTTCATCCCCTTTACTCTTGCCAGACCAAGAACAGTCCAAACAAATCTCACTTTCCCACAGCCCAGGCTGCTCTGTCTTCCTAGAAAGTCTCCTTTATACCTGCTGGCCCTGCATGGCACAGCGTAGGTGCCACATCCTACAGGAAAGCCTCCATGATGCCCCCAGCTAGATATGAACCCAAAGCACCTGTGCCCACCTCCACTGCCACAGTGTACATCACAATGGATCATTATCACTTTCCTTCCATGTCTTTTCTACCAGCCTATCAACTCATTTCTGAGTTCCCAGGACCCAGTGTGGTGGGCAGCACACAGTGAATGTTTGTCAAATGAAAGACAGAGCCTAGAAATACAAGTTCACCAGCCCATAGCTCTTTGCCCTTCCCAATACCCATTGACTCACCTACACAATCACAAGTGGGGAACTCGGCCTGGGCCCTCTTGGCAGGTGTGTCCAGCAGGCTCTTGGTGGGTGTGTCCAGGTACTTAAGAGGTGACTCCAAGAAGCCACTGAGGGTGGGTGTAAGTGGATTCTCAGCCTTGGTGGGTGTGGCCTCCTGGCCTCCTTCTTCTGAATGGAAGCAGGTGGTTGAGAGCACAGTCACAGCTCCTGAAGACTCGATCTTGATTTGCTTGGGGGAATGGGTAGCAAAAGGGCTCTCAGGGGCTGGGAGACACGTTGACTGGTTCTCAGGGTCCTGAATGGGCACAGAAGGGGGGCCAGGAAGCCCAAAACTATCCCCAAATTCAGCCTCAAACTGCCGGATGAGCTCTTCCAGCTTGTCATCAGCAGGGGGAAGGGGGCCGGAGGAGCCTGGCTGCAGGTTGGCCATAGGGCTGAGGGACCTCATTTCCTGAGTAGGGGGCAGCAGGCTGTCCCCGGAGGGACTAGGTGCAAATAGCGCAAGAGAAGGTTCTGTGGGCAAGGGGATAGCAGAGCCCTGTGAGGCAGGGAGGGGGGCAGGGAGGGGGGCAGGGAGGGGGGCAGGTGCATATGCCTGCACTTCCTCAGAGGCTGGGGGCCTCAGCCCTTCCAGGATGATCTGTCGGACAGGCAAGAAGAGGGGTTGAGGTTCTCGTGACCTGGACTTCTTGATCTGAATGGGCTTTCGGACACTGGGCTTAATCCCAGGGGCAGCTTTGTCTGTTCCCACAAGACCTCCAGCTGGTGTGGGGAACTTCTTCTTCTTCTCCTTGGGTGGTCTATCTGGAGGCCGTGGAGCAGGTGAGCTTGGTGGGGCCCACCACCCAGGGGCAGGAGGCTCCACAGGAGGACAGGAGGTGTCATGGGCCTGTTCTAGGAAGAGACTACGCTTATGGTGGAGGTGCTGCTGTAGGGCCGTCTGGGCCTTCTGGTGGGTGTCGAGCTCTGAGGATGATGTAGGAGCCTCCCTCTGGAGAATGGGAGATGAGGATGGGGCTGGGGAAGAAGAGGGTGCCTCAACCTTAATCTTGGGCTTGGTGGGCAGGGCCTCAGGCCTCTTGAATACTGACTGGATGTAATCACTGGCACTGCCCAACAACTGCTCCAGTTCAGCCATGGGGTCGGGGCTTGGGCGGGGCACCGGCCAGGAGTTCCGGGGTGTCACTGGTGGGGTGTCAGTGCCCCAGGCTTCAGGAAACTCAGTTCTAGGAGGTGCTGGAGGGAAGGTGGGGCTATCAGGAGGAAAAGATGGGTGCTCCTCAGAAGGAACCACAGGCCATGAAGGGGCCCGGAGGTAGGACTGGGGAGACCTAAAAGGGGCAGGAGGGGACAAGGCCTCAGGGAGGGGGCATGAAGCCTGGGAGGTGGAATGAGAAGGCTGGGGCAGAGTGGAGGAGAGCTGTGTGAGGGCCTCAATGGCAATAGCGGTCTGCAGACTGATGTTCTTTTCCTTGGCGATGCTCAGGGCACTCTGGGACAGGGGCAGGCCCTCCAGGGGAGGTATCTGGGGGACCTCAGAGCTAAGAAGTGGCCTGGTACTTGGTGCCGGGAGGCCAGCCTCACCAGGGGGCAGAGTCCCTGGGACCCTGGGCCGCTCCTGCCCTCCTTCCATGACCACAGACTTGATCTTCCCCTCCAGCCACTCGAGGTAGTCAGGGCATTCTGGGCCATCGCAGTTGCAGTTGGGTGGTTTCATTCCATGCCGTGCAAGGGCCAGGGCCGTCTGCAGCGTGTCAAGGTCTTCACTGCCAACAGAGTAGCTCTCAGGCCCTGGCCGGGGGCCCCTGCTGTTATTCCCAGCCTCACGACTCATCTCACGGTTGAAGGTTTCATAGAGCCGGGTGCTAAGGGCCCCATAAGAGGACACAGCTTCGGCCACAGCCGAAAAGGCCACCAGATCGTGAGCATCTTCCAGGCGAGCAGTGTGAGCTGGGCCTGGGGCAGCGTTCCAGTCGGGCTTCTGGTCTACCCGCCAAGGACCTGCAGCCCCCAGCAGACTGGGTCCAGCGGGCTCTCTAGCACCATTGACCGGCGCCCCTGAAGTGCTTAGCTGCCGTGAGTCCCCATGGTACACTGGCCCTGAGTCCATCTGACCTGGAACAGGTCCATCAACTGGGCTGAGCTCTGAGCCTGTCTGGAGAGAGAGGGGAGAGGAAATAAAGGGGGAAAAATGAACCACATTATTTGAAAAGCATCACCCTGCTTCATACCATTCCAAACCCTGCTTTTCCTGCAAATCCTCTCCCTGGTACGTTTTGTAAATCCTCTCCCAGGTGCTCCCTGATACCTTAGCTAACTTCACCAGCAGAAATGGAAGGGAGAGCTTTAGGACATCCTAATGTGGAGTTCTCAGTGTCGCTCAGGCCTCAAGAGCTTCAGATTAATCACACTGTCAGAGCTCCCCTAAAACCAAGGACACCAAAAAAAAAAAACAAGGTCCTTCACTCACTGTGAACTCAGTGACCAAAATCACATTGGAACTATGTTTATTATGGTTCTGTCAAGAGGGAAATAAAGCTAACCAAGCCTAGCACATAACCACGTGCTGTAAAGTGGGAAGGCTGTGTGTGTGTGCAGAGGTCAGTAAAGCCGCTTTCACAAACTTAACCTGGGACAGGGTTCACAGCTTCCTAGTGGGAAGTAGCCTACAGTTCCTTCTCTCCCCATTACTGTTTCTCTTAAACCCAGGCTGAGTAAGCTCAGATTCCCACACACAGATGTAGGCTTAAGGGAAACTGACGATCCTACACAGTGCGTGGTCAGCCTCATGCTGAGCCAGTCATGCTGATGACAAGCAAGCTGCTGCTGGGAAAAAGATTTAGACCTTTCCCCAAGCCCAGGAAGCAACATCATACACGTGATCTACAGAAGCACACAAAAGGGAAAGTATGACAGGAAAGGGGCCTGGAAGGCTGGCCCAATAAGGCAAAGATATGAAATTGAATTTGCAAGATTCATCCTTTAGGGAAGGAAAGCTCTTCCTTCCTGCAGACTTCCAAGAAAACACACAAGGAATGACAGGTTTCAAAAGTCATAGCAGATGCTCCAAGTACTAGGCAGAAGCCTGATGAGATACGGGATATATACATGGTCTCAAAGCATCTCCTGTAGATTATTTAATTACAATAATAACTCTTTAGTGGAAAAGTCTTTTGGACACCTCCTTAAATGGCCAAAGTTAACATCAATACTGGAACAAACCAACATCGTATGCCTCTTGATATGATACACTAAGGACTTGACTCTATTCATGACGAAATGTCAGATAAACCCAAATTGCAGATGTTCTAAGAAAATACCCAAAATGTTCTCAAAGCCTCTTCTATCTTATGAGACAAAATGTATGCTCATAGGTAAGAACTTACACTAGGAGAAAGACAGCAATAAAATGTATTATTGGGACAATTGGTGAAATCTGAATACGGATGTGGACAAGGTAATATTCTGTCCATCTTAATCTGGACTTGGATCATTAGATTGCCATTATATAAGAGAATATCTTCTTGGGACACACACACTGAAGTGTTTAAGGGCAAAAGGACACAGCAGTTTCAACAGTTCTGAAAATATATGCATATATAAAAATGCATATTTATAGAGAAAATAATAAGGTAAATGGGTAAAAAGAAAAAAGCTCCTCTGGTAGAATACAAAGTACTTTAAACAGAGCTAAAATGATGCTAGGCCCAGAACTGTCAGACATGGCCATCATCGGCTCCCAAAGTGGCAGTGAAAACTGGGACATGAGATCAGCTCTGTGGGAAGAAAGGGCTCAGCCTGCAGGTCCTGCCTTAACCTCATCATTGCTCCTGTCTTGGCCTCAAAAGACCCTTATGCTTTTCCAACAGGCCATGTTCTCCAATGTCACCAAGCCTTGTACATGCAGTTACCAGCCTTCTCAGTCTCTTAGAGCAGTCACTCTAGCTTATCCTTCAAGTGACAGCTTAGTGTCACCTCCTCCTACCCAGCTGGCAAAGTTATCTATGGCTTCTTCTCCTGGATTCTCATGGCACCTTGTACACTAGGGCTCCTCCCCGCCAGGTTCCTATGGCACCTGTAACACTTATCACATGACACAACTATTTCATGTTCAAGTGGCTACCCATCTCACCAGGTAGTAGTTTCTGAAAGGAAGGTCCAAATCTTAATGACCTCTGTGCCTCCTGCTCATAACTAGTGCAGTAACATACTCCTAGGACAATAAAAGGCCTATTGTTCCCCACTGGCAATGGAATCATTCAGCCTCTCCCTAACCCTGGTGTAAGACTACCTTCTGCATGCTTAAGAATATAGCCGATGACCCAAAGTTCCCTTCTTTAAAACATACACTAAAGTACCTAACAGAGGCTACAAAATCTGAAGTGATCAAAATTTACATGCTTATGTATAAAAGACAGAAGGAGCATGCATAACCAAGATGAAACATGAGAGTAGCATGGCTTTACAAAAACAGTGTCAGAAAGACTAATGCTCCATGAGCCAAGGCTTCCCCAAAATGGTCAAGACAACTAAAAGGGATTTTAAAAGTTATTTCTGGTGTGTGAATAAGGACAGGGAAGAACTAGGTCAGCTTTGTGCCTGTGGATTCCCTGAGAAGGAAAATGTTTTCTGAAATAAATGGAGAAGGGAAAAGTAGATATGGCTATAAGGAGGAGGAAGTAAAACTAGCCTGGTTGGGAGACTTTAAGAAACCCTAGATTTCAGTTTCCCAGCCCAGGGATCCCGCTGATACATTTCTCAATTTGATCAATTTCAGTGATCTTAAATCAAACTGTCCAGCAGAAAAAGGTGCTAACGGAAAGAGGACAAAAGGCAGCCCCATCTGTCAGTCTACTGAGTTCAAAAACAGCCCCAGTGGGCCGGGGATTTAGCTCAGTGGTTTCGCTGCCTGCTACGCAAGCGCAAGGACCCAAGTTCGATCCCCGGTATCAAAAAATAAAAACAGAAAAACAGCCCCAGTTAGGATTCTTGAAAGGGTAAGCAGACGAACCACAAGAAGTCAGGTTGACCATCAACCTGTCAACACCCAACCAATCTCACTAATTTTTGTCATGTGGTCAGTAGATCAGCAGATACAGAGACGCTATAGCTGACAGTCACAAATCCTGAAGGCTACAGGCTAAATTTGCCACAGATGCGGTTTGGCCTATACAGTGTTAATGCCTTTGTTTTCCCAACATTCAAAAATAAAATTGCCCATGAAACCTGAGTTTTCTTGAAGGTCCACATTTCTATCTGGGAAATTTGTCTGTAACAGAGCAGTGGCTACCACTTACACATAACATAACTGCTCTAGTTCACCCCCAGTTTCACCATTGCGCATTGCCTTCTTGAAACCAAGTCCAGGGGTCAGAGATCACTTATTAACTGCCTGAATTAATTATCACTTCATTCACTTGTGTTACCTGCCAAACCCCTGCAGGCTTTTTTAGTTTGAAACTCAGTCTGTAGATGTTCAAGTTTCATAAGGTCTGCCAAGGACCCTTTGAGGCCAGCTCCAGAGAATTATAGGTTGTCAGGGCTGGCTTCCCACTAGGTAGATGACCATACTCAAAACGAACAAGTGGTGTTATCAAGTCCTGGGGGAGCGAATCTCTAGGGATCTATCACAGGACTCTGTTCTCACAACTGCCCTGTTCAACATATTTATAGAGAAGGAATACTTATTAAATACGCAGGTGTTAAAAATAGTGATAAAACTATGTTGAATGACAGCGGCAGGTGCTCCAAGGTCAAATAGGCTGGACCATGTGCCAAAAGATCAACAGTCTAGAAAGGAAAAAAAATCAAACAGGGCAAATAGGGTCCCACACTAAGGCCCCAAACTATGTCTATGCAAATTAGAGATAGGGGAAGCACCTAAAAATGGTAGCAGTGGGCATTAAAATGTTTCAGGAATCAGATAGGTTAAAGATGGACAACTGACAGTACATTCAATATGATATGATGCGACTTTTTCAAACTTTCTGACTACAATCCATATTAAGTACATTTTACACTGTGATCATTTATGCACTTAAAAATGACATTTTGCAAAATACTTCCCCTTAATAGATGAATATATTTTTCATCTTTCTTTCCTTTCTTTTTAAATGCAGGTTGCAATCTTTTAAGAAGATGTCACTGTCTATTAATGGATCCTATAGTTTGACACATATAGCTATGACATAACCTAAACAGAACCCATAGCACAGGCAATGACAGCACTGCTCTACCCAGACAGTCTCATTTCAACACTGGCTTCCCTTTGGGGCTACATCTTTAGGGGCACAATGAAAGCAGGACAGCTTAAAGCTATGAGAGTAGCCCATAAATGTATACAAGTACAATTTGTCAAAAAAACCACAATTCATACAAGAATTAGGCTTGTTTGACTGGCCTTTTGGATGGAACTAGAAAATGGGTAAAGTTGTAGACAGAAGAACTTTTGCTTCACTTAAGGGGAGAATTTTCCCTTTTTTTTTTTTTTGGTACCGGGGATCGAATTCGGGTCCTTGTGCTTGCGAGGCAGGCAGTGGAACCACTGAGCTAATTCCCCAGCCCTCCCTTTTTTTAATAATAAATTTTATTTTATCTCTCCCCCCAAACCCCCTCAAGTGGAGAATTTTCTTAATACAGTGAAATTCAAAACTGCACTGAACATAGTCCCCTACCAGTCAGGAGGTACTGAGTTATTATTCATGAAAATGTGGACAAGGTAACCAAGTACTAGTTGTCTGGCAGTCATCAGCAGGGTGCCAGGACAATGCTAGAGGAGGATGGAGGTCCTTTCAGAGACCCAGCTCAGACACTCCTCAACTCTGAAACCCTCCACACTTTCCCTCTCAGTTCTCATTTCCCTCTGGGCTTCAGAAAACACCTTGGTGAGGATGCTCCTAAGTGTATGCTTTCTGCCTGGATTTCTCAGTTGTCCTCCAGCAAGCTCCAACTTTTGGAAAATGCAGCCCACTAAGGGTCAGCTTGTCTAAAATGAAACTAAACTCTCTCATCTCCTAAAGCTCCCTTCCTGTTTTTGCTCTTAGCAATGTTCCCGGCAAAAACCTTAGCTATGTTCCTCCAATGTGCCCAATTATCAGAGCCAAACAACTCTGAATATATATTTTCTATTCTAACTCCTTCCTTCTAATCTAGGAC